CGGGTGCCACAAGGTTACACTGAGTGGGCGAAGAATGGAAATTACGATCAGCAGGAGACGCCCTTGCCCAGGGGTGGCCTCCACCCAGATCACGTGACAATGCGGCCGCTGGGCCCAACGATAATATCTCATCCTCCAATACGGTCTGGGGAGGGAGTCTAAAATACTGGTAATATATCTAACCATAACTCCTCTACCGCTAACCCAATGGAGGTGGTTCAAGAACCTATGAGCTCCTAATGGACTCTACTTTTATATGAGATATTCAACCGCATTGTTCATTGTACTTTAACCTCCCAGTAACCCAATTACTAGAGAAACATACTACCCCCTGTGCTTTACACCACACATCTAAAGGAGGCATTGTATCACCAACCCCCGGCTCACGGACGCCAGCCCCGTCGACCGCCTGACACCCACCTTCGCTCAAGCGCAGTCACACTCACGATGATTTCGCCACAGATGAAGCGCCAGCCCCCCACAAAGGGCGTCAGCCCGACGGTCACGGGCAACTGAGAAGGGCAGCGCCCCCAGAATAGGTCAGCCGGGGCGGTCCACATTCGGGGATGATTTCCCGCGCTCCGCAATTTGGATGGTCCGTTCTGGCGGCCACCCTGGCGGGCGCCCCCCCTGTGTGGCCTTCCGCCCGCGGGCCCAATGGCCCTGGCCCCCCGCGCCTGGCGCGCCTCCCCCGCCGGCCTTATGGCCGGCAACCGCCTCCAAACCCTCCACAATACTCCCCAAGCGCCTCGCAAAGCGCCTTCCTCCGTTGACAAGCGCGACTGCGCTGCCAAAAGATGGGCGGCGATGTGGAGCAGCCCCTCCTGCCTGAGAATCCCGCCACCCCCGTGAAGAGCCGCGCGGACACATGGCTGGCTTACGCTCGACGCGAGCTGGCCGATCCCACCCCCCGCAACTACGTCGTCCTCGCAGTGTTTTTTGGACTCGTCACCGGCCTGGTGGCCTTCGTCTACAACTCGTCGTTCGAGTTGTGCCTGCAGCTGGTGTGGGGGCATGATGAGGCCGACGACAGAGGGATTAGCGACGGGTGGCTGATCGACGGCATGCACAAGTTGCCCAGCCTGAGAAAGGCGGTGGGGGAGCCGGCGCTGGAGGCGCTGGCCCGGAGGCTGGATACGTCGATAGACAGGGTGGCATGGCTGTACATCCTGGCGGTATCGCCGCTGTTCGGCGCGCTGGCCGGCTTGGTGCAGTACTATATGGGCTTCCCAGGTGCGGTGGAGGGGCGTCTTGGGCTTCGCTGCCCGTGTGGCTTTCCAAAGCCGCGTCTGCGAGGGTCGCGTCTGCGAAGATCGCGTCTGCGATTTGTCGGTCATGGTCGCGAGCGCGGTGGTTGTCAGTAGCCGATTGCAGCTCGCCAATCCGTGATGATGTTTGTGCACCTTGACCACCGCTTGGCATCGCCCGTTACGCCCTCGTTTGGTTCCAATCCTCTTGACTGTCGTGGCGGTGAAGAGCACACACGAACAGAGCGCTTCGGCTTCCGTTGGCGACGTTTATTCGGCTTGACCGGCGTTCGCGCTCCCAACGACTGCTTCCCATGTTCAACCCCCGCTGCTTCCACACTTTCGTTTGCCGATTCTGCCTCCTGATTTTCTTCTTTCCCGTCTTGGTCCTTCCACGGGCGCCACTCTTAACTCACCTTCATTGTCAACCGCGTTGACACCCACGCTCTCATGTTCGGGCACCGGCCCCAGGTGACCTGCCGGACACCGTGAAGAACATCCACGAGAAGGGCATGATCCCCATCAAGCAGGCGCCCTCCATGTTCCTGTGCTCCGCCTTCAGCATCACCGCCGGCGGGAGCTTGGGGCCCGAGGCGCCGCTGCTGGCGCTGTGCGCCGCAACTGTCAGCTTCATATCCATGCGGCTCTTCCAGCACAGGGGCCACATGCTGCGGAACTGCACCCTGATGGGCATGGCCGCGGGCCTGGCGGCCTTCTTCGGAGTGGGACTCGGAGGTGAATCCCCAACGCCGACTTCTGTCCTTTGTGGGCCATCTCGTGTGATCGAGGGAGGGGGGGGGGGGATCAACGTTTTCGTCGAGGGTCTGTGCCAATGGATGGGTGGCTAGGTTGACAGCGCGTTGGTTCCCGTCGTTTGCCACTCGGGCTGGCGGTTCGCGTCGCGGCCACCCGCCACGGTCCACGGGCAACTGCCGCCGCGTGGGGTGTCTTCCCAAGAGGTACGACCCGGAGAAGGTGACCCTTCGGGTGGGGCGTAGGGCCTTAGTAAACCCCCGCCGGTTCGTCTGGTCCGGTGGCGGCCTGGGGCGGCGGTGAGACGTGGGGCCATTGGCCCATGGAGATCTGTACATTTGAGCTCTCACGGAACGAGTCCCCAGCTCCCCAGTCCCCACTCGAATGGAAACATTGGAACCAGTGGGGGCAGCGAGTATGGCCGCGCATTCGAGGGAGCCCACGCACAGCCGCGATGTCAGAACCTTGGATTCGTCAAAGAATACGACAGGCATGTTTGGGGTTGGGGGAGCTTCCGACAATGACGCACATCTGATTCATGTCAAATGGGAGAGCCAATGTGAAATTACAAGTTTACGGGCGCTGCTGTGGGGTGCGACGCAAGCAGTCGCGGAAGTGAGCGGTAGCACATCTGCAGATATCACGTGGGACCACACGGAGCCAAACTGTTCTGCCGTTCTGCAATGCATCGTGCTTTTGTGTGGTTGATACGGTGCCCAAGACATGAGTGTTCGCCTCTCTTCACAACGCTTCCGTGCGGGTGTCATTGTTGTGTCTCCAATAGCAGCATGTTCTGTGTCAACACATTCAATGTATTGCAATACATGCTGGGGAGCTCAGTCGCCATGGTGGAGAGTTTAGTTGCCATGGTCGTGAGTGGCTGACAGCTCCTGTGGCCACTTCTCACAGGCTCGCTGTTTGCACTGGAGGTTCTCCACAGGACAGGCATTCAATTCTATGAGGTCGTCACATACGCTGTCGGAACAGGTGATTCCTCGTGCAAGCGCTTGTGGTTTTCAAAGCTGGTCTTGTGGGAGTGATGGTGCGACCTCTTGTTTGCGCCAACAGTGTGGACTGATAGGTAAAGAAGTTGGATTGGGTGGCGCTGTGCTCATGAATGAGCAACGCTTCCTGTTTGCCAGTTGGTGTGCGTAAAACTTTGCCTGCATACAGTCAAATCCAGGCGTGCATGCACAGCGTGGCCACAAAGGCTGACGAAAAACAATTCAAATGATCAATTTGCTGGAATTGGTCCTGCTACCGTGTGCAGCAGAATAGCAACTAAACAGCGATCATTGGTATTTTAATACCGTACAGACCAGGATGGAAGCTGTACAAAATCGCATTTGCACGGGAGTGGAGAAAACTGCATTGACCCACAAGCGATGCGGTGTCAAAGGGCTTCTCCAATATTGCTGTTGTGCGAATCGCACTGGATGGAACGTTTCTTGACATGGAGTGTTTTGTTTTTGGAAACTGCGACCGTGTGTTTCTGTCCTTGGTTTTCTGAAATGAAAACACGGCACCATGTTTTCTGGTTCCCCCTCTGTCCTCCACGTCCACTGGTATGTTCTGCGTATGCTAAATTCACAATTGCCTACTTATCCGGCATTGTGACAGGACATGGCTGGCTTCGTTGGTACTGGGCAGATGTACGACGAATTGATGTAGCTGAGACCATGATGCATAGGGCATCTGCAGCGCATAGCTCTTTTGATTCTCTCTGCGCTGTGCAAACGCACTTTTCACCAGTGCAGTATGTTTGTCGTGCTTATTGGGCAAACATGTGTCCAATTTGGCTCGAAAACGGACAAGCGATGTGCCGATCAAATGTGCGGTTGTCAAGTAACAACTTGCAGTAATTCCAAAGGTCGATAGACAGACGTGGATTCGTGAGCAGTGCCACGTTCGTCGATCACTCCCTGGCGGTATCGAAGCTGATTCAAGCTCGTCAAGAAGCGAATGCACAGTGATGCCCGCTAACGTGCATTGTGTGGGTCCATCCAGGCATGCTTTGTTTGGTGGTGTTCAGAGGCCTGTCAGGGTTTACTTTCGGCCAGATTGCCCTCGTTGAGTGCGTTCTCCGCGCGATGCCCGCACGTCGCCATCATCGAAAGTCATCGCCACAGATTCACGCTGCCGATATTCAACCAGATGCACAAATGGTCAACAGACGGGTCTTTCCTGTAGAAAAGCTGTTACAGCGCCGCCGCTGACATCAGGTTCCTTGCGCAGTTAAACCGACGCCAGCTGCTATGAAAACGGATAAATATAGCAAGAAGACGTGCTCAACAAGTTCCGCAACAGCGCCCGGCGCGTGGCGGATTACCGGGACCGCCTTTGCAGTTGTCAAGGATCGGCGGTTGGCCTGCTTCGCTGGGTAAAATTCGCCTGTGCCACGCAATTCGTGTGTGTCATATTGTTGGAAATCGTCTGTTGGCTGCGCTAAGCACATTAGGTCGAAATCCCAACCACTCGGATCAATGTATCAATTCGTGGAGTAGTGACCTTTTATTGTCAAGAAAAGGAGGGCACCAATGCCGCCGTCCCTTGCCAGATGGCTGAGACAATATATTAGTCCATCTGTCTTTTCCGTGAGGATCCCTTCTTCTTTAGGATCCCTTCTTCTCCGCTGACAAGGCCAACGTGGGTCAGTGGGTCAGTGGTGAACGGTTAGGGTGTCGAAACAAGAAGGGAGTTTTACGGAAAATACAGAGCGACTAATAATTTCAGAAATAATATTTCTGTCGCACCAAATCGGTGACTGTTTGGACCAAATCACGTGCACACCGTGTCCTAACCTCAGCTTAAGGTTAGGTGTAGGGTTAGGGTGAGTTTTCGGGTTAGGATTGGAATTAGGGTAGATTTGGTTTAGTTTTTAGGTTAGGTTAGTTTTGGAGGGATCTGCTGCAAACAGTCAGCCATTTGGTGCCGCCAGTAATTGTATGGCCTAAACCCATGCCGTTGGCTGACTGGTCTTTGATGGCCCCTGTGGCACAGGAGCACAAGACGCCCATCATGTCCGGCCTGGTGGGCGGCCTCCTCATCGGCCTCATCGGCATCTTCCTGCCGCCCACCATGTTCTGGGCCGAGTACGAGATGAAGACGCTGGCCGACAACAGCCTCCCCCTGTGGCACATCTGGCCCAAGGGCGGCTTCTACGGCACGGAAAAGTTCCTAAACGGCCACTACACGCTGTGGTCCTGGCTCCTGGTGGCCTTCTTCAAGCTCCTGGCCATCAGCATCACCGTCCTCTCCGGCTTCCGTGGCGGCTTCATTTTCCCTCTCTTTTACGCCGGCGCGTCGCTGGGCCACGGGCTGGCCGACATCCCAGGCATCCCCTTTGTCAGCGGCCTCCCGCCCGTGATCACCGCCATGGCCATGTCCGCCGGGCTCAACACGGCCATAACTCGGACGCCCTTCGCCACGACGCTCATCCTGACGACCCTGTCCGGCCACCCGGAGGTGGCGGCCCCCGCCATTGCGTCGGCGCTGACGGCGTTCTTCCTGACAATGAACTGGCCGTTCGTGAAGCCGCAGAGGGACAGGGCGGACATCAGCCTGATGGCGCTGAGCTTTGGGGAGGAGGCGGATGGCGGCCGGCCCATGCGCCGCGACCCCTCGCAGAGCGGCGTGGGAGAGAGCAGTGAGAGCAGCGACGGTCTCTGATGCGCCGCAAAAAATGTGTCCATACAGTTTTTGCGTGTCCGCGGATTCCACGTGCTCGCGTGTGTGCATTGGGCGAGGGTGCCACGGCCTGCGCCGCCTGGAGGGCCAACATGTGTGGGCGCGGAGTGGCAGCTGCGATGCGGTGGCGCTTGCTTGCAGCGGGTGATAGGGTGGCTGCTTTGTGCAGATTGGTCGGATGCGGAGGGGGAGGTGGCGGTTTAGGATTCGTACATAAGTGGCGAAGGGGCTGCACTAATCAGTGGAAAGCAACTTATAAATTGCTTGGTGGTGGTGGGGACTCGTCTTGGGTTAAGGGTCAAGCATTCACAGATTTTTCATCAGACGTGTCATTATTTCTCCGCCTGAGTGGTCTACATGTGCCCGATTGCTGCCACAAGTGTCGCGGGCGAGCCGCATGGAAGAGCACTCAGCGGAACGCTTTGCGTTTTGACTGTAACAACAATTGCGGACAGAAATGGCAACTTGGCGCAGGCGGTGGGTGAGGCCATGGCCTGTGAGGGGGCTGACCCTGGCTTATCGCAGCGGCCGACTTGGCTTGCACTTGTCGGGCCAGCAATAAAGTTTCGAAAGCATTCTCTGATAGTTGTGCGGATTGTTTTGCACACCGCTGGCCTGCTTGGCGGTTGTAGCGTTCTTCTTCACTGAACGATTGTTCGATGCGGCGTGAGTGTCGCAGATGCTGGCAAGGTGCATTATTGTGCAATTCATTGATGTCGTCGTGCGTAAATGATTGTGACTTCTTGTACTAGTTGGTGAATTTAAAGGTGATATCTTCATTGTGTGCTGGCAATGCTGCGCAGCAGCGGGAGGCCAACGCATCCAGGTTGATTCCTGTATGCTTGCTTGGCAAGCGAGATGGGCCATGCAAAGTGCGACCTCATGAAAAGCTGTGGTAGCAAGCCAGCGGAAGTGTTGCTTCCATGAAAAGGGTTTGCGGCCCGACAAATGTCGTTCCACTATCGGTTTCTGCTTTGAAATGAGAAGCAACAATGAAGAACATTCAACAATTCAAAAAGCCAAAGGGAAAGCGGAATGTTGCTGTTTGAGATAATACTTGGGGTGTGTGCTCTCAGTTTGAAACCCATGTGCGAAACTCCATGTCCTGTAGTGGGTACACAAGTGGACTTTGCGTCTGCCTTGACATGCATCATGCTGGTAGAAGCTGGCGTCCAACCGGTGGCCCGCCACCCAGCTGGCCAAAATGTGCCACCCTCACCGTGTTTTATTCCTGTGTTGGTGGGCAAGTTCTCAGGATCGCCTTCTGCACATGGCCCAGATACGGCAGTTCCTTGTCGCTTCCAAGGACGCTTCCATGGATGGCTTCCATGGATTTGGGTCGTCCTCGGTTCAGCAAGCGGCTGCAAGCCAGAGCGTTTTCCCAGATGTTCCAGTGCTCTTTAGCACAGGTTTTGCCTTCGTGTCGTCTGGTTTGTGTGCTGCGCTGCTCCACTTTAGCTGTTTCTGATTTCCAGGCATCAATCCATCAATGCTCCGTCTGCAAATCGCTTCCTTGACAACGTTTGCAGCGAATTGTGGGGATCCCGCAGTTGTGATTCTGTGACTCAGTTGTGGCTCACTGAGCTCTCTTCAATGCTCACCATAGTTTTCTGTGAAATGTTGTGTTGTGTGTGTAGTGCTGACTGCCCTCCCCAGCCATTCTGGCAGACCTACAGCTTGTATTGCACTGTTTGACCAACGACAGCTCCAACTAGTATTTCTGTGGCAGCTGAAATAATGTCTGCAGCCAGACATGCAGCACAAGTCACTCAAGTCAGTGCAATGTCCTCTTCCACAATGCTCGGTAATGCTGTCTGTCACCTTCACAATAGTTCATATTGATGAGGCGCGCTAGATTTCCACAACGTACTAAAGAAGCGTATTGCCGCTTGCTGGCACCCCATTGTGTCAATTCTCCATTTTTGTCAACAGTCAACAGAACTATGATTGCTTGCTTGTTGCAAGACATGGAGTTGAACACAACTGCTGGCTGAGCACAGGACGTGAATTTTGGGTGTTCACTGTTCTTGAAACAAGGGAAGCACAAACGTGCGTTGAACATTGATGGACACCATCATTCCCCACACTGTGAGGCCCATCAGCGAGGATGATTTCCGATCCTGTTGCAAAGGAATTTTGTCTTGGATGTCTTGCTCCCAACACTACCCTTGAGCATTACAACCATCCCAAAAGTCCCCTTCCTCGCCGCCTCCCCTCCCCCCCTCCAACAATTAACAACCGAAATCAACCGCTCTCTCCCTGATGCCCGCTCGCCCTCAAGGCCCGAACCCAACCCCCACCAGCGGCTTGGTGGCGCTCACAATCCGCAGTGCCTCCTCGTCCGCCGCCCGCTCCAGCACCACGCCCGCCTCCAGGCCGTGATCCCGGAGGCGGGCTACCACCCCCCCTGGGTCGTTCTCCGCCACCGTCACCATCAGCAGCCGCCCGCCGGGCGCAAGAACCGACGCCACAACCGGCAGCAGCCGGTCGATCACCATCCTCCCATTGGGCCCCCCGGCCCACGCCGCACTTATCCCCCCCCTGCCCACCTCCTCCTCCGGCGTGGGAACATAAGGCGGATTAAACAGCAGCAAATCCACGGCGTTTTTAACAGAAATACCTTCAAAAAAATCTGCCACGATCACGTCCACCCATCCCACGCCGTGGTTGAGCAGAGTGCTCCGCGTGGCGGCGGCGGCGGCGGGACTGGCATCGATCGCCACCACCTGGCACGGCAGGTTGAGATGATCGAGGATGAGGGCCAGGGATGCGGCCAGGTAGCCGCTGCCGCTGCCGAGCTCCACGCAGAGGTGGGGCGGCCGGGCGGGAAGGGCGGGGGCGACCCGCCTCAGGGCGTCCGCGAGGGCGAAGGTGTCGTCGGAGGGCGGGTAGACGTCCGGGCCCCAGTTGGTGAGCTTGATCTGGGCCAGGGGCAGGGGCATCCGGCCCGGGACGGATCGGGGCGTTCGGGTAAGCAAGGCCCGGAAAGGGTTTGCCGCGCTCGGAATGCAGGTAGTGTCGGTTGAGGGGGTTCGGCCAGGCACCAGCCAGCATCCACCGGGCTGTGGTGCCCGCAGAGATGGGCACAAGAGGTCGAAGGGTGGAGGGGAGAGGACGCAATGCTGGAGATCGGGCTTGGAGGGTGGAGACGAAATAATATTACTGCCTGCACCAAATCGGTGACTGCTTGCACCAAGTCACGTGCACACTTTGTCCTAACCTCAATATTAGGGTTAGGTTTAGTTTCAGGATGAGTTTTAGGGTTAGGATTAGGGTTAGGACAGGTGCAGGTTTAGGTTTTAGGTTTTAGGGTTTAGGTTTTAGGTTAGGTTAGTTTGGACGGAGTTGAACATGATGTGCACGTGACTTAGTGCAAGCAGTCACCTATTTGGTGCAGCCAGTAATTTTATGCCGGTGGAGACGGGGGTGGAGACGAAGTTAGCAGGTCGTTGCTGGTTGGGGTTCGGGTAGCGGGTTGGTCGATGACGGTGAAGCGCAATGTACTGGCAGTGTGCGCGGCAGATGGCCCATTTCGCTGCCGCATTAACCATGGGAAGCGTCGTCGACACGATCTCGGTCGGGAGATTTTCGCGGAAAGGCCACACAGATCTGGCGCCCCGACGGGAGGGTCGACACTGCCGCCCGCCGCGCCCTTCCACGCGCCCAACCCTGTCCCCGCCGCGACCCGAGGGCCCTCCAACCCCCCCTTGCCTTCGGCGGCCGCGGCCAGAACACTGGACGCCATGGCGAGCGCCCTCACCTCCGGGAAGGTCGTCGCGGGGACCCAACTGCAGGTTGGTTGATCTCGGCCGTCCCCTCGGCAGTGGGCGCGATCATTCAGCCCATGCCCGGCGCTCCGTCACCAGCACCAGCCCTCGAGCACCCCACCGTTGCGCTGGATTGTGTAGTGGCGGGATCGCGGTTTGATGTTGCAATTGCCACCGTTGACAGTTTTGTGTGATTTGGTGCGGGCAGGGAACGCAGCTCGGGCGCGTGTGCGGCCCCGCCCGGCTGCCCAGGGCGCAGCCCCGGGGGCTGGGTAATGGCCTGAAGGTCCGCGCCGCCGAGGAGGAGACCGCCGTGGTGAGTGCACCCGGCCGGAGGCCCAGCTGACTTCGCCCCTGCCGGTCATCTCTCTGACCGTGCGCGTGGCGAGCGAACGGATTTCAAGCGGACAGCGTTGCCCAAGGAACAGCGCCCGTAGGCGTGGAGCCCCGCGGCGAGGCCTAGTGGCCCCTTGCTGAGTTCGCCAGAAAAAAGTCCACAGCAGGGCAATGGATTCATCATTTTGTTGTGCCTGCCTCCTTTGAACGCGTCCCCGCCACCTGCACCCCGCCGTCCAGGGACCTCTGCAGTTCACGCGTGTGCCGGCGCTCCCCTGGCCCCGTTCTGTCCCCGTATTGGCCCTCCGAGTCCCGTCTGATCCGCCCACGTCCCCGGCTTAGATCTTTTGCAAAGAGAGAATGATACAGATCATACAAAACCCCTCGGGTGTGCCGCCCCAGGCGCCCAGCGGCGAGCGCAAGGGCCCCGCCAAGGACGCCGTCTTCTGCACCGACTCCACCGCCCTCACCTACCTGGACGGCACCCTACCCGGCGACTACGGCTTCGACCCCTTCGGCCTGTGCGACCCGCGCAACAACGTGGGCTTCATCAACCCCTCGTGGCTGCGATACGCGGAAATCATCCACGGGCGCTTCGCCATGCTGGGCGCCGCGGGCTGCATAGCGCCCGAGATCCTGGCCTACGTGGGGGTCATACCCCAGGAGACGGGCGTCGTGTTCTTCCGCAACGGCGTGATACCGCCGGCGGGGATCTACGACGGCTACTGGGCGGACCCCTACACGCTGTTCTTCATCGAGGCGATCGCCATGAACTTCGCGGAGCTGAGGCGGCTGCAGGACTACCGCAAGCCGGGGTCGATGGGCAAGCAGTACTTCATCGGGCTGGAGAGGATCTTCGAGGGGTCTGGGGACCCGGCCTACCCAGGTGGGCGGGGAGACGTGCTGGGGATGTGGTTGGGCATTCCCACACGGATGGAGGGTGCTGACCAGAAGGGGACAAGAGCATTTCATGTGCATGGATGTCAGCCCCCAGCCATCTACCTGCTGGATTCGTTGTTGTGGAAGTTATCGGTGATCATGTCTGACACCTGGTCTCTGTTGGCCCGAAGGCCACATTGTTGGAATTTGTGTTCATCACAGTTATCCGAACCATGACAAACAAGTCCTGCGACCGAGCAGGCGATGATGGTGCAGCAGCAACCAAGGAATGTTTGGTCTTGTCCAATCAAGCGTGATACTGAGTCAACGTGCTGGTGGGACTGCTTGTCAATTGTCTCCTACATCAATGACACTCAAATGTCCTGTGACCTTTGCGACTGGGCGCAAATGGGCAACTTGTTGGCGCTGTAATGTGTGCATTGAATTCGCTATCTCATGCGTATTTAGTGTAGCCTTGGTTCCAAACCAGACCACAGCGGAGGCTACATACAATTTCGACAAGCTGACAACAATAGATGGTGTCTTGCAAGTACAGCCTGCACTTTGGACGTAGTTGCTCAGTCCACGCCCTCTGCCCTGTGTTGTCTCACGATCTGAATCTTTCTTTCCAAATGTGGTTTCTTCCAGGTGGTCCTTTCTTCAACATGTTCAACCTCGGCAAGACTGAGGAGTCCCTCAGGGACCTCAAGACCAAGGAATTGAACAATGGCAGGTTGGCCATGATGGCCATGTTCGGCTTTGGCGCCCAAGCGGTGATGACTGGCAACGGCCCATTCCAGTGCTGGTTGGACCACATCAGCGACCCCTTCGGCAACAACATCCTCACCAATTGGGGCAACGTCTTGGGGTGAATAGGCACGATGTACATACACATGTAAATTATGTCGTTGCTCGACGGCCAACGCTCGCCCATTTTTGGTGCTGGTAGCCACAGGAGTGGAAATTTGAGAACATATTGTTCGCAGTTGGATGAGATGGGGGGGCTGGGCCCAGTCGTCGGTGGGTGCAGGGGCTGGAAACGAAACAGGAACTATCAGAGGGCAGAGGGCCAGTGGGGCGTTTCTGTGTGGAAGCTTCATCATGCACCGAAGTTTTCCCTTGCATCCCGTGTGGGCTGCTGTTCCAAGGCTGAGAGACACCGACCAGCCAGAGAGGAAAATTGTTGGGGCAGTTTGCATGCTGTGGTGCTCTTAGTCACCTGGAAAATCGCCAGACTGGTGTTGTTGCGCCTCTTTCGTTCACCCACCCGTGATTGGAGTCCAACAGGCTTAAGGGTCCCAACCTCCTCCAGCGTCGGTTGATTGCCATGTCCCAGGGGTTTGATGTCGGAGGCGATAGTCTCTGGCATCAGCAGGGGAACAAGGGGTCGTGCCGACGGCGTCGACGAACCTCCTCCTCCTGCAACGAATGCTGCCGACGCTGCGGACGTCCCACCCCCCTGAGACGTCACAGGCAGCTGGGATGCCACCCTGCAGCGTCGAAAGAAGAAAGGCCTTTCTTCCCCAGTGGCATTCCTGTCCAGCAGTGTCAGCGACATCCTGGCCAGCATACGGTGGCCGACCAAAGTCCATAAAGCGCTGCCCGCATGGCCTTTCACATTTGAAAGGCAATGTATTTGTGGCATATTACACGGCCAGCCATGGACTCGTGGCGGCCCAAAATTGGTGAGGGAGCTGGATGCCATAGCACCAGTTGAGTGAAGCTCTGGACTGAAGGCAATGGGTACAGTCTGCAGTCGCCAGGCTGGGTGGTGTTGGCCCATCCACATTGCACATTGATCGCATTGATGTGGACATGGCCCGAGGTGGATGGGCACACCGTACAAAGGTGTCTGCAGAATGATGACTGCATGAAGCCTCGTTTCGGGTGTGTTTCCAGCCCGTGGGCGCACTCAGGGCGGAATCGCTGAGCGGGACACTGCAAGCGGGGCCCGGATGGATGTGGCGATCAGGTCGTCTGCACACACCTGGAAACGCAGCTAGCCTGCTTCAGCGCCAAATGACGTAGCCGCAGGAGAAAGTGATGCCAAGTGGGCGGCAAGTCAAAGAATTGAGGCCTGAGACTCTAGGGATCTCTGGATGAGCATGGCATTATCTGGCTGAACCAGTCTCTTAAGGCCACCCAGTCAACCTTTTCGTCCTGGTCGAAATTCGCAGGTCTGGTGTCATGCATTTGGCATTGCATGATAATAAGATCGACTTACGCTGGCGCCCATGCGCGAAAGTAGGCTAGCCTGCAGAATTGCAATCCATGCAAGAAAAGGAGCAACTGTGGAATGGGCATAATGGGTGGTGCTCTTGTTTCCACACACGATTCCCTGGCACTCAACACGTTCCACAGCGGCCACAGCCAAAGATGGAATCCGCCCACGGCCATGCGCAGGTGTGGTCAGGTGCACGGCTGGTGTGGGGCCTAGTTTACGATAGCCACTGCCTCTTGGCCGGCAAGGCGTCCATTCTCGTGCCTCGGCGTTGAGCGAACAGGATTCGCCCACCTCAGGCTGAATGCACGAGTCTTGGGGCACAAAATGATTATAGAATTAACTATCCTGTTAATGAGTTTCTGCCTAGGACGACGATTGGGTGGGCGCGCAACGGCCGGGTCAGGCCGTTCCGCCCTTTGGGACAGTTTGGACCATCCATCAGCTGGTTTCTGTCACCCCTGTACTCGGGGTCAGTGCTGCCCGACGCACCCAAGGGCGGTGGAGTGGATCCTTGTACCTTGGGCGCAGCCAAGGGGACCGGTCAAGCTGGCCCTTGGGTTTGGCGGGGAGTTTGGCGGCAAGTGGGAGCGGCTATTTTAGGCGCAACCCGTGGCGCCCCCCTTATCTTGTTTCGCTTCGCGCCAACCTTTGGCACAACCCGGAACCACAGAGTGGTTCGACCCTCCGGCCTTTGCGCCGAGTTCTTTCTGTATGAACCCCAGCCCTGCCGAAGAGTGGCTGCGGGCACAGGCGCTTCGTTTCAACCAGCGCCTTCCTGACCGACCCATAGAGGTCACGTGGGTTTCCGACCCCCGCTTACTTCCCCGGTCAGTCAACAACCGGGTCGCCAGGCCGGACTTCACGTCCTTTCCCGCCTGGTTCGACGTACGGGAGACGGGTCAGGGCCAGACGGTTGCTACGGCTCTCGGCCCCAACTCCGGCTATTTCCAGGAGTATGCGAGCTGGGCGCCGTGGGTCGCGTGGCAGTTCGACTACACGGCCGCCTTCGTCGACCTGGTCGCCCACCCGAGTCTACCGCAATCGATCCGCGACCTCCTCCTGCCATACGTCTACGCATCGGTGGCCATTACCGAGCGGCAAGTGGACCAACTGCGCCTCCATCAGGTGCACGCGAAGCATCGCGGCACCGGCCTCGAAGGATCCTGGCGCGCGCTGCAGGCACAGATCCGCCTCAGCGAACCCGAAGGCGGTTTCACCACCGAGACGATCGACGGGACGCTGGGCGCCATCCGCAAGGAGCTCCTCACCCAAGAAGTCAAGCTTGCCACCAAGGCGGCCGCGGCCAGCCGGGCGGGCAAGTCGGGAGGCGGCGAGTCCTCGTCCCACCCCGGAGGCTCTTCAGGGCGACGCAGCAAGAAGCGCAATCCCCCGCAGGCGGCGCGTCCCCCTCCGGACGCGTGACCGACTTCCCGTATAACCGTACCCGGGGACGCCTTTCGGCATGGCGGAGGATTGGAGCGCCATCGCACGTCCTTCGCTGGATCCATTCGGGCGTTCCGCTGCCGTGGGGCCCGCAGGGACCTCCACCTCCCTTCGACCAGGGCGAGTACCCGATCCGTTCGCGGGAGGAGCAGGCGGGATGGGAGTCCCTCCGCGAGGAGTACTTGAGTACGGGCGCCATTATCAAGGTAGATCCCGGCCCCATGTCTCGTATCTCAAGGGCCTTTCTGGTGGAAAAAGGGCGCGAGAACGGAGTCATGAAGTACCGTTTGTGTGTGGATCTCCGGCGGATCAACCGCCACCTCCGCAAAATGGGTTTGCGGTATGAGAAATTGAGGGATTTTGGTCATTTGTTGAAACGGGATGATTTTCTGGTGGGATTCGATATTAAGGACGCCTACCATCACTTACGGATGCGACTGGAGGACGAATGTTTTTTGCAATTTCGCATGGGTGGGGAAGTGTTCGCTTGTCGTGCTCTTCCCTTTGGGCTTTCTCTTTCCCCTTACTTTTTCACCCATTTCATGTTGGTGGTCACTCGTTTTCTTCGCTCCCCCGGTTCTTGTGCCAAAGCGGCGCGGGGGTTTCGGTTTGGCAGTCTGGCGGGGAATGATTCGATCAAGCGCTATTATTTCCGCTATACGGTCGATGACCCCGCCATTATTCTGGCATACTTGGACGATTTTCTGGCAGCATTAAGCGATCCGAAAAAACTGCGGGAATGGGCCCAACTAGTTAGAGAGATTTTTGGGGCCTTGGGCATTCACTTTAAGGACCGCAAATGCCAATGGGAACCAGTTCAGGTTAAGCGGCACCTTGGTGTGGTGGTTGACACCACCGCCGCTCGTTTTTTCGTTCCCCGGGACAAGGTGGCTCTCATTGCCGAAAAAGCTCGGGTTCTTAGGGCCCGGCGCTGGGTGGTTGCTCGTGATCTGGCTCGTTTTTGCGGGCTGGCCATTTCGGTTTATTTGGCCTTCCCCCTTGCCCGTTTTTTTCTCCAAAGTCTTTACGGGGTGCTCAGGACCAAGCGCTCCTGGCGGGATCGCCTTCGATTGACCCCGCAGGCTTGCCTCGATCTCGAGGCGTGGGTCCATTTGGACCGTTGTGATGGTCGCCCGCTCAATCCCGACGCGGTGCCCTTTGCGGGTACTCTGGCTACGGATGCCTCCTTGACAGGTTGGGGGGCGACGTTCACGGCTCCTCACGCCGATCAGCCCAAGTTAGCGAGGGGCTTCTTTGACCGATCTTTGACGCACATTAATGTGCGTGAATTGCAGGCAGTGGCGCTGGCCATTCGGGCATTTTTTCCGGCCAGTTCCCCCTCGCTTTCGGCGCGGCTCCGCCTGCTCGTGGATTCGCAGGTGGTCCTCTTTTGCATCCGCAGCATGACGACGGGTTCCGCTCAACTCCGCGGGCCCCTCCGCCAACTGCAGCGGATTTGTTCGGCCCGCGAGCTGCTGCTCGATCCGGAGTATATCCCCTCCAAGGAGAATACGCTTCCGGACCACCTGTCCCGGGTGCGCGGTGGGGAGGATTACCGCCTTCATCCGGCGATCTTCCGGGCCATTACTCGCCGTTTTGGGGCGCGGACCATCGACCGGTTCGCTTCCCAACGGAATTCCCTCTGCCCCGTTTTCAATTCGAGGCATCACGAGCCCCATTCGGCGGGAGTGGACGCGTTCCTTCAGGACTGGACGGGCGAGGCCAACTGGGCCAATCCGCCCTGGTCGTTGCTTCCGCGCCTAGCAGCTTTCCTACAGCGACAACCGACGGTGGAGGCGGTGGTTCTGGCACCCGACTGGCCGTCGGCGATGTGGTTTCCGAGGCTCCGGCGCCTCGCGACGGCCGAGATGATGATCAGACGCCGCCCGGGCATGTTTACACCGGGCGACCCCTCGATGCCGGCCGTTCTGCCCCCTCCCCGGTGGAATCTCCGCGCCTTCCACGTGCGGCCACGGACTCCGACTCTGACGCGGGGACAATGACGCCCGATTCCCGCGCAGCTTCGCCGGTGGAGGACCCTCTTCCCCTGGAGGACATGCCGTCGGATCACCCGCTGTTCGGCTGCGAGGTGGACGGCCTCTCGGCGTCCGATCGGTCTTGGATGCAGGCCGAGTTCCTTTCTTTTTATACGGAGTCTACGCGGCGGGGGATGCACTCCAAGTTCGACAAATTCGCGGCCTTCTG